ATGCCCTGATACAGATAATTTTCAATAGATTAGGAAAAAAAAATTACTCAAAATGTTGTTGTTGTTGTTATTTTTTTTTAATACTCAACAGCAGGGGCTATATCTTTACAACTTTTAATTTTTGAAAATATCCTGCAGAAGGATTTGTACTACATAAGCGCAGTCTTTAATCTACTATGACCTTGGGTCTTAGGAGTGGTGTTGTAAGGTAGACCTTCATAAGGAGATTTATTCTCCCAGAAGACATGGTTACTTTAACACAAGAAATCTTTATCTATTCTAAAGCCTAAGTGTAATACAATGATGAAGAAGGAATAATGTCATTGCCTAAGTGATTCCATTGACTGCTTGTCGATTAAGGTAGCATGCATTAACACAGTCACACGTGAGATTTCACCCTGCAGCAAAAATGGGCCCACGTGCACTCTGGCCATCAAAAAATGACAGCACTGGCCAATCTGCTTGATTTGGTCAGTATCTCTTTTCTACTGCTGATTTTTCTGATTACCTTTTGTCCAACACAGTGACTTTTGAGCTTTTCCCTTTGGAGAGTCTGAATGACATAGCTGATTATAAAAGGCTCTTTGTTAACTCTCCCATATTATAAATGGGTATTTTTATGATTATTTGACCCAAGACAAACCAGCACAGAATTACACTTGATACTTCTTTGTATGACAGTGAAGTGTTGATAGCTACTCTCGAAGAATAGTTTTGTAGTCAGCTGAGCATTCACACTGTTATAATTTAATCCAGCCCACACCTACTGTATTTTATATTCTCTAATCTCAACATGACAGACTTTTTCATACTGTGAAATTCACTGCTTTAGGATGCTGTGGGTTCTAAAAACATACAAAAGTGGAAAAGTTACTAGACAAATTTAAGGAAAAGTTTCTATCCAGGCTGTTACAGGCCTAGATACTACCTTCTAATTCTGGTACTTCTTGAGCAACAGTTTGTCAGTGTGAAGGGAGCAAAAAGGGAAAATGCCATGTTTGTCCCAATCCTGCACTCTTCTCTACTTACAGCCTACTGGGGATTATGGGTAGGTGAAGGTTGACTTTGACCTAGTGTGAACAGTGTCACATAGGACTGCATTAAAAGTCTTCCTAAAAAACAGATTATAGCAAAACTCCCTAAGAACCCTCAAGATTAAAGCATTTGTCACCCCATTTTTTAACACTGCTATGTCTGGCTGTCACTGGAATGTATTTCTTCCTGTTCTGACCCCAATGGAGCCACAAAGTTTCTTGCATTACCCTTTGGATACCATGGAGGAAAAGCGTTAGGGATGAGGACACCTACTGAAGTGTCTGGAGTAATCCTGTTTTAATATGTGTCATGCTCTAAGCAGGGAATCCCTTCTTGTATGTTGAGATCGATTAACATTAAAAGAAACACAAACCAAATTTAAGAGCCCTTTCTCATGACACCCCAACGCAGAATAACATCATCTTCACCTAAGAAAGCTGGCTTCCTTGACTTCTGTGTGATACTGCAACGGATTTCCTATATTCTTTTATGGTCTACTACTGAATTATACTTTAACTCATTCCAGGCTTTGCATGGCTTGTCTCTGTCACAGGCTTTGGAAGGCACATTAGTAACACCTTGATGCATCACCTTATGGGAAATGCTTAAGGCATAATCTTCTCAATATAGTCATAGCTAGTGTCTTTCTGTGAACATTATATAAAGACCAAATGTGGTACCACAGATGGCAAAACTGGATGTGGGATGCTTAATGTGAACATTCCCTTTTATTCTATGCTGGTTTCATGGAGGAGGGGAGGAATCTTTTCACATGTTTACTTCTGTCTCACTTTCCATTCAGCCTGTTGCCTTGTCAAAGAAAAGTAGCAGCAAATTGTTCCTTCTGTCCACTAAGAGTAAGACAACTAAATTAAATAAACCTCAATTACTAAGAATTACAAAATGGCACAGTAACCAATCCTACTTAAGAATACCTAAATCTGTGGAGTCCCCTTACTGTAGAATTTAAAGAACAGACTTCTAATAAACACTTATTTGCCAGGGAACTATTCAGGTATTCCATCCTGCTTCAATGCATCAGGTTAGGTAACTTACTGCTGCAACACATCTATGAGTAGGAAATCTATTCAATATTTCATTCCAGAGGATAATCAAACTTCTCCAGAAACAAACTAAAATTAATGGGCGCTCTCATTAAAAAGTAGCTTGTCTAGCCAATCCTTCAAACTGAATCTGTGCGTAGCAGAATGGGTGGAGAAGTCTACAATTAACCAAAAAACATACAGAAAGTTTCTGTCATCTCCCCAGAAAGAAGCCAGGGCATCAAGTACACAATGCTACAACACGGATATTTCATGAAGTGAACTAGGAAATGATGGTGCAAGCAGGAGTTGCAGCCAAAGGAAACGTAATGCTGCATGTTTCATTTCTGTCCTGTTTGGTGACTTTTGTTCGAAAGTAGGAGGTATGAAGGTGTAGGTAAAGCATGTTACCAGCAGGCACATCAAGTGATCTGAGGCAATAGAGATATAAAAGGGATGGGATGTTATTTGCCCTTCCTCAAGGACCACATCAACATTATTACTGTTATGCTGCTGCTCCTACAAGACATGTTCAAGGGAGACTTTCAAATTTTTCCACAGTTTGAATGATACTTTATCTCCTAAATATTACTTTGCTTCTTTATGAAATAAATCTATTTCAATCTTTTCCTTTAGCATTCATACAGGGCTCATCAATACCTAAGTATTCTTACCGAGGCTCAGAGACTCCTGACCACCTAACACATGTATAACCATCAGAGATGGTACATGATTTCATTGTGGACCTCTTCAATGGCTATTTCATTTACAAGAACAAAAACTCCAATTAGTGATAGGAGTGCCTACTGAAATCCTGGAATTTATTGTTATTAAAATCTGGTTTCTGCTAGCAAGCACAACATATAAAGAAACACCATGAAGATTAAGTTCCCCCCTTGCTTTCTCCTGCTTCTTCCCTTCTTCTCTCTGAGTAGTACATAAGACATATGCACCTGACTTAATGATGTCAAATAGATTAAAAAAAAAACCCCAAACAAAACAGCAGCTGAGAGGTTGGGAGTGGGAGGAAAGGCAGAAATCCCCCATCCTTAGTTCTAGGCATGAAAAAAATCTAGAGGAAGTTACCTGTAGAAATGAGAAGCTGCAAAACCTTCCACTTAGAAAACAAATTCATACTGTTGTTACTTTAAATAGCAGCAATGAAACATTTATAAGGATTACTGAAATAAAATTAAGGCTATAAAGCAGCATTTTTCTCGAACTGAAAGAGCAAATTTGAAGGGAGCAGAAATATAAACAGATCAGTATTTTCAGAGGCACAGCAAGTAGCTTAAACAAAAAAAGTATTAAAACCACTCCTCTTGGGCATCAAAAGAAGATACTATGCATACCAGGAACCAAAGCAGACGCGAGACACATCCACCTCAGTATTTATGAACAGCGTGCTCTGAATAAGCCCCACAAACTGATAGCACACAAAGAACTGAAAAGATGACAAACCCTATTTATAGAATGGCTTTAATATATCCTGGAATCATCTCCACATAATTTTAATCTGTTTCCACAAAAAAAGTGTATTCTTCACTTAAATCACTGGCAGAATTATCATTATTATTTTTACACATATCTTAAACAAAGAAGCATTTCTGCAGTGTGACAAAGAAGAAACTGTAAGAGGTAGGGATATCCATACTTCCCTATTTCCACATATTAAAAAGTATGTTCCTTTAATTACAAAAAACCAAGATTTACTCCAAAGTAGATTTAAGATTAGAAGATCTTTGAGAGTTCTTATGTCCTAGACTATAAGAAAATACACTTGATAGCTGAATTCAGTTTAACATTTTATAGGTCATAAGCAGTTGCTCTGCCACAGGAGAGGATTTTTTTGCCAAAACCATTCTTCTGACATTTAAAAATGCTTGTCTGGTGTGTCCAGTATTGTGTAAATACAGTTGGTATAGAATATACAAAGATAAGGAAAAATTCTAACAAAGAAAGGAGTATTTGCTTGTTTGCAACTTTCCATTCCAAAGACATCTCCCACTGTTTCTTATTTATTTCAGTGCAAACAGAAATATATTTCCTTTAGCAATTAATTGTATATTCTCCCACTAAAACTTTCAGTTTTAGTTTGCCCATTTAGCATATTTTTTTTTTCCTAGTGAACTTTTCCATTTTGAAATAGGGAAAAAAAAACCACCCATGGATTTTTTTTCTATAAATGTCTTCCTCTACATTCAGTGCATTGCAAAGGTACACAACTTACGCAGGAGCTCATCTGTTATGAAAGGATGCCTGCTTGCCCTTGGAGAATAAGTTACCAGAATTTAATACAACATGGGACAACCCTGTTCTAGCATGATGGCTTACTTTTCCACCAAGATGGCTCACAAACATTTACTCCCGTATTTTTAAATGGCTGAAGAATTCTCCTCACTGTTTTTAAGCTGCTACAGAAAACATGTCACTAAAACATGCCCAGTAAGACATATGGCTGATTCTGCAATCCACACTGAACACAGCTACCTGTACTATGCCTGAGCCTTCTCCAGCAACCACTACCTGGTTCCCAGCTGACACACAAGAATGTCACTCTGGAATGTGAATAAACTGCTACCAGATAAAGTCATTCTGCCAATTTATGAGTTATCACTCAATATACTTCAGTCCTTGCTGTTCCTGCCTTCTTCCTGTTCAGCCATACAAAGCACCTCTGGATGTATCAACTTTTTATGCTACTTTTATGCAACTAAAACTAGAGAGCATCTTCTTAAAAAAAATCCCAAGCTACAAAACTCGGTTTAGGGTTAAACCTAGAAATAATATTTTCAGTTGCTTTATCAACCATTACACTTAATCCTCAATATACTATTCTGCTTACATTTTAACCTGTATAAAGCAATAAAATAACTAATTTATATGTCAAGCAAGTTAATGGATTTTTATAACCATACTTACAGAAAAAACAGCAGCCACAGTCTCAACAGCACCAGTACTTAGAGTAACATAGGGGATTGTTTCATGATTGATCCCAGCTTCACTAAAGATGCTGTTTGTGTAGTACCAGATCTGTATCAGAGAGAAGAAAATGAGTTATTAATCGTTATGGCTTGAACTACAATGTATTGGTATTCAGTGCTAACATCTGATCTGCCAGAGACCAGACTTGTTAAAACACCGAGCACTCCCAAACGACCAAGGGCTGGGCAGGACAACAAATGAAGGGAAAGGGCAAATTTCAGGTGGATTAGTCACAACACTGCTGTACTTCTGCTTGCAGACCCAGGCAGAATGACAATCAGTTTTAACTCAATTTAGTTTAATTCACTTTAGGAGTAAATCAAAGAAACTCACTTTAAGCTTGAACAAGAGGATATAAATAGGTTTTGTGTGGCTGAGCAACACTGCCTAAAAAGCAGGTTTGGGTGGTTTTATGGAATACTTCAGTGGCACATAACAACAGAGGGAAGAACAGGAAAGAGATGCTGAGAGGCACTGCAGGAACCACTCCTTTTCGGACAGAACGTGTGATTGGTCTCATTCCAACCTCACTGCAGCATGGACATCTGCAGTCAAGCCATCAACTTAATCCCTCTATTATCAACAGAAAGAAAAGATACTTTTAGAGTGAGAGTTGTTTGGTGAAAAGTAAAAGCTGCTTTTAGGATGAAATGCATCATAGGCTAGAAGGAGCTGTTGCTAATGGGCAAAAACAGGGAGCATAGGGTTAGGAGCTTAGAGGAAGTCATTCAGGTTTCGTCAGAAAAAACACATCCAGTGATGACAATATCCAGACAGAGAATATATAATGGTAATACTCTAAAATAACAAGCCTGGTAAGTATCAGAGCCCAATTCACATCACAAATGAAGTCTGAGAACCATATAACATTTATGTGGGACTCAAGGTGACAGCAAAGAACTACCCAAAGCTTTTGGCTACCAAAAGCATGCAACAAGGAGAGACTGCCTTGGAGAAACAAAAGATAATTGATTTACTAGAGAAGATGAAAAACAATTGAAACACTGATTATCAGAAGAAAATGAAACTTCTAAACCACAGCTCATTACCTGTGACAACAAAACTGAAAGCCAGAGATACCTAGAAGTAGCAGTGGTATTTTTTCCCATATGCTGTTCATGTGACAAGCCCTAACAGGGCAAGCACTGCTAAATAAAAGGCTTGAATGGGAATGTTCTGATCGCATGAGGAAAACCCTGCTGCTGGCCAGCACATTATGCACATGCTATATCTGTTCATCAAGCCACTAACTCAGGAGCTTTGTAAAAAAAAAAAAATCTCTGAATTCCCAACTAGCCCTTTAGCAAAGCTGCTTGTCCCAGACCAAAGAAGAAAATCCAATTCATCTTACATAAAACAAAAATAAAATAAAATATCATGGACTAAAAAGTCACCTGCATCACCTTACAGATAAAGAGAAGCTGACTGAAGACTTTTATGCCTACTGCTGGCACATCAGCTCTCACCAGAATAGACACAATGACAGTAAGTGACAGTAGAAAACTTCTCTATATGAAGTAGCTATATATATTCATGTAGCATGCACTGGTGTTAATTGTGCATTTCACTGGACTGTTGATACAGAGCACAGACTGAAGAAAAACTAAAGAAAAAACAGTTCCCTCCAAAATATTTATGCCCATTGATAAATTCTTTGTGACCCAAAACTCTGATAACCTATTCACCTCCCATACACCTACACAGTATATAAGGAAAATAAGGTAGCACAAAACTGTGATAAAAGTAGTTATTTCTCCATACTACCTCCATAAAATTGAACATTTCATGCAAGGAAAGTTAGAAAACATGTAATTTAGGCATTTCATTCTTGATATCAGTTTTGCATAGCAGGTACAGCTTCTAAAAATGATGGTGATATTGCAGGTGTGCAGACCTTTAAAGAATAGAAAGAGGTCAAAGAGTCACTTAAGCAGACAACTCCTGAATGTAATCTGCCACGATATAATGACTACAACATAAGATGTTTCCCAAGGGGTTTTACAGAAGAGCATGACTGACTATTGATGGCAAGAGTGGTAGTAACACAGCAAGATGAAAAAAATAGCAGAGCAAAGACAGGATGAAGTTCACTGACTTAGCAGTCTGTGTAACAACACAAATATAAATTAGGGTAAAAATTAACAAGATATTCACATTTCAAAACAATAAAAGTGAATGTTTTTTGGCCTGTGTATCATTAAACAGGGAAACACACTGCTCTAGGATATTACCAAGACAAACTTACTAGGTTAATGATGACTAGTTTCACTTAAGTTATTTTTCTAACATGGCTTTTGCTAGCTAATGATTTCATTAGCTAACAAAATTAGCTAATGATTTGGCTAAAAGTTTTGGAATGAAAGAGTTGTGGAAAATGGGGCAGAAGGTCCAAAACCCCAGAAAAAACTGCTGTTAAGCCCAAATTTGACTTCCTAAGCCCATGGCGAGTCACTGTTGCTTCACAGGCTGAAGTAAAACTTTGCCACTTACATACATTTCTTTCTAAGAAATTCAACTCTTCAATAGGAAAAGTAAGCCACAAAATATACGGGTGACAACACAGACATATACTGTGATGCACACTGCATACTCACCACTTCATACACTACCTGATGCCAAGTCTTCTCCATATCAAGTGTGAAAAACACACCATAATAGATCTTTTGCATACCAAAAACACGCATTGCTGCACAGACTCCCATCCCCGGCATGATTTTTTTCCATTTGAAATACAACCCTCTGCCTTAAGGATAGATCCCACAGAAGCCTAGTGATTCCACTCTGGGAATGACTCTCTTAAAGCAATATGCAGTACAGTATATTTCTTGATATGAAAAAGGATAAAGATCACTAGTGGGAACTTCACTGTAGTTTTGTGTCTTCTTTAGAACTGAAATACGATGGTAGAAGACAAATTTATTACAGATGATATGCATCATGGATAAATTTTATCAGATAAAAAGAGACTAATATAGCTTAATTTATTTATGTGAATTTAGGTCAGACTGTCTGGTATTTTGTTATAACTGAACACATTAATATTATCAGGATTTCACCATGATTTCTGTTCCATGTGGAAACCAACGAACATACCATTTTAAGCAAAAAAAAAAATATCATAAAGTAGAAGCAAGTGTTCTCAGATACCAGCAGGATGATTACAGAAGTCTGCCAGTTGGCAATTTCCTTGGAGAGTGACCTGAGACTCTCACCTGAAAGAAGTCCAACTTTCCCATATGTCCTGCCCAGATGGCAATTGTGGAAAAGACCAGACTGATTAACAGGGCACTACAGACAAAGCAAATGTGGGTGCTGTGAGTTACATGGAAGCATTCTCAGCCAGTTAAACCTTGCTGATACTGGCTCACATCCAACAGGTTAGTTCAGATGCAGTCAGGCAAACCAAGACCTGGGTTCAGCAGTATCTGTCACACCTGTATCTGTCCTCTAATCTCTGAGCTTCATGTGACTTGATCAAGATCAGTCAGGAAAATCATGCAAAAGAGACAAGGAATTGAAACCTGGTCTCTTAATCAAGTGGCCCAGCTATTTCTCCTGATTTTTCTTATAATATTTGGTTTTATTATTAAATATTACTATTAACTATTTAAACAATCAACTTCAGAAAGCAAATTTTGTGTGAATACTTTTTTTTTTTTTTCCAGCAAGGAAACTTGTGTCTGGATATAAAGAAAATGCTTTTCACACTGTAAGTGGTGAAAACACCTTGCACAGTTGCCCAGGGAGGCTGTGGATTCTTCACCCTTGGACATACTTAAAATCAACTGCACAAAGCCCTCAGCAGCCTAAGCCAACCCTGAAGTCAGTCCAACTCTGGGCAGGGGCTCAGTCCAGATGACCTCCAAAGACCCCTTCCAACCTAAATTGTCCTGTGAATCTCTCCTAGCTGATGCAATAGGCTCAGACAGATGGAAAAGGAGACTTTGATATCCATTAGCCTCAGACACATTAATGGTCACTACTGACTGCTCTGTGTCTTTTTTCCTCTTTTGCTCCACTTTCCAAGAAGGGCATATTGAAGCACAGCTTACTCTTCAAATTGTATGAAACAACAACAAAAAAAATCAAACATCCAGTGCAACTTCTTAACATCACAGGAAGTTTTGCTGACTTCTATAAGCACAGAACTGAACTGATCCAAGCAGAAATGTCTACTGAAGAGACCAAGCTTACCTAACGTGAACAAACATGGGACGTTATCAGACCAGATCTTAACTGACCAGAAACAGAGAATCTGAGTATCAGAAGCAGAATCTGTACACTTTCTTTGCTGATCTGTGTTACCTTTTCATGTATTCCTTCAAAGTTAACACAACGTGGCTTTCTTCCCTTTTTTTTGTTTAACCCTCCCCCCCAATGATAGAGCTCTCCATGTACCTTCCCACACATTGGTGTAACAAAATCATTACTAAGAAGAAACAGCCAAAACTGAAGGTCATAGATGTTGCTGACTGGTATATCATAAACCTTGTATTAAAAAGAAAGAAAGGAACATCCCAGGAGAAGCCACGGCCTGAAGAAGGACACTTACAGCATTTAGCCCACAGAGCTGGTAGCAGCCCATGGTGACGACCACAGTAATAACCTGCCATCGCACAGCGCGGGTTCTCAGGAGCTGAAGTATTGACACTAACTTGGTGTTTCTTTGGACTCGAGACTCTGCCAAAACTTCTTCTACTTCATGAGACACATCATCTTTCCCAAGGAAGGTCTGAAATGCTACAAAGAGAGGACATGTTCTTTAGGCCAAACACTTGGCAGTATGTGCATTTCTAACAGACTTGTTTCACATAAATGGAAATGTGTGACAGGAACAGGAGACATACATGGGCTACAACTTAATTACTCTTCTGCTAACAGTATCATTCTGCTCTGGGTATGATCTGGCTCATCCCTGCAATTGGTCTCAAACTGCAACAAGAATATAAATTATCTGGCACCCTACCAGACCTCTCCTTATATTATTTCATATGTAATATACCCTAAGGTCCAGTGTGGAGTCAAAAACCGGTGTAATCTGAAAAAAGAGTTTAATAACAAAGCAGTTCTGAACATTACTTGACTTGGCCACTTTTGCAGCCTAACAGTGTATCAGACTTTGTTGCTGGAGATAAGATTGGATAGAGAAGTAATAAGATGTAAAATCATGTAAGTCTAGTAGACCAAGAAAAGGCAGACATTTGAAAGGAATAACTATTAATCTTCATTTTACCTTTTTTTACTATCATATAGGCAAGAATTCCCTTTGTCAGGATGATTAATATTAGAAAAAAATTACCCAGAGCAGTTCAAATCTTTCTAGTTGTCAATGCTGGAGACACAGGAGTGAATTTGCCTGGCAAATGTAAGCAACCAACCGACCTTGTCTCTCCAGAAATACACACTGTTTCGTATTATATTATTGCACATCGACGACTTACTGAGATATTCTTCCACTGTGAATAATATAAGCTTTCCAACTCACACCTCCTCCTGTAGGGGTCCTACAGATACCTCCTAATGGAGGTGGTGTATCGCCACCAACCTTGTTTTACAGGTACTGTATATGCTGATTATACTTTTTTTCACAATTTTATGAACATACCCCAGGGGTTGGTTTTGTAAGAGATGTTTAAAATGCTCATCATCTTGGAATGACTGCAGAGAAACAATTACATTACACTACCCCTGCCACAAGGCTTTGTGACCCAGTAGGATGCTAACTCTAAAAACAATCCTTTACACAGCAGGTCACTGTTACTTTTATTAAGTGAATAAGCTGGTTTAGTCCTCCCAAGAGCCAAGTCAATTTTCCTCTTATCCACAGCTTTGCACAGTACTACCTATAAATAAATTACCTTCACATTTTTCAATAAGTATGCATCATAGAAAGGACCCGGATGGTCAAGAACACTGACTAGCCATGGTCAAAATGCCTGGACCCCATTCGGGTTTTGAGTTTACAAAACTCTGACTTTACCCAGTAGGTGAAAAGGCCAAGTAATGGCATTTCAATTCTGTGAGGGATAGGTCACACAAATGAACCAGTGGCCTCCTCAGAGCAGCCCTCTCCATCCCTTTGGTGAAAGTGCAATGCTGCACACTCTGCCTGGTTCCCAGTTTGGCAGTGCAGGGAACTAACTCAAGCTCTGGGCCAAGATTTTCAGAGGCAGTTAGTAGCTTTATTGCATTTTAAAGGGCCCTACGTGACTCTGCTTAACAAGAAGGATATTTTTTTTAAGGGATGTACACCGACCACCTCTGGCTGTTGAGTCAATTCATAACATTAATTTATTCTGATATCCAGTTTCTCAGGAGAGAAGAGATCATAATTTTAAAATCCCTCGAACAGCATGAAATTAATCTTTTCACACAGGCCTTAAAATCAGGAATGAGTTAACATATTTGGACCTCAGAACCCAGAATTCAAGCCGCTGAGTTTTGTCCTTGTGCCACTGCTCATTTATTATTAAATGACATACCAAACACTCCTTAAAATGAGTGTGATGTATTCAAAGACACCGGTAAGAAATGTAAAATAAGAATGTGTGCCTATGGTATGTCAAAGTCAATGTCTCACACTCAAATGACACTTTCCTCAGTATTATCAAAGTACTGGTAAAGAAAAATTCAGATAAAGATGAGAACCAGACATATATCGCCATACTCATCTTTGAAAAGATTCTCTCAGATTTTTAAGCATCTGGTTTATCTGTGTAAATTAGGTCAGTGCACAATTTTCTTTATTTTTCCTGTCCTTAGAATCCTTGGCATTACTGTAGGGCACACAAGCCAAAAATATAGGTGCAGTCAAGTAAAAGGAAAGCAATCTGTCTTTTTTGCACAAAGGAGCTTGCTATATTTCTAGAAGGACCAGGCAGTAAAAAAAAAAAAAAAAAGCAATTATCAAAATTACCAAGTACAAGGCAAGAAAAATATAGACACCTGCTTTCTTCCCTCCCTGGTATTAGGAGCAGAGATGTAAATGCCACTAGGAAACTCTGACAGATACTTAAAATTACAAACAAGTCAAGAAATGCTAAGAAACTGCTATGCTATACATGCACAGTTTTGAGTAGACAACATTCAGTCTCAGGAAAAACACATTTTCCTTCTACTCAACACATATTCATTTTTTTCCATTAACAGTTCTTCAGTACATTAAGAATCACAATTTTATACATAATTAATGTGGAAATAAATTCTGCATTAGCAGGGAGATGGGAAAACTCCAAGGTCTTCCAATGTGCAATGTTCTATTCATTTTATATTTAAACATTTTACATTTAAACCCCTGCATTATTGGCACTGAGAAGCACAGCAGTTGCTCCTCTCCCCACTGCAACTCATTTCTCTCTGTGACTGGCTGCTTCTCTCTATAGACAAGTCTTATTTTCATGTCATGCTTAAAACCATCAAAGGAGTCACAGTTCTAGCAACTTTTAGACCTTTCCCAGATTTCTTTTTAATTCCCTTGCATCAGAAGGTCCCAGATGCTCAGCCTTCAAGTGTCAGGACACTGCCTTTATAAATAGCAAAAGAAGTGGATGGTTCCTGTCAAGGGGAAAGGAGCTAGGAAACCCTTCCATCTACACCACCAGTTTTTATTCATCTCAAGTAAGTAAAGGTGAAACATTTGCAAGTGGTTCAAAGGTCTGAAAGAAATCAGTTGGTACTGTCTTTAAAACTAATCACGCCTTTAAATTAACTGAAGATAGAGACTCAAGACCTCAACTACATGAGAAATTACTAATTCTTTCTCCATCATAGTACTTTAAGGACTGTGCAAAGGAAGCAGTTGTTATTGTAAAGACTGAATAAGCACATAAACTTCGAGAAGGCATTTTAAAGGATCAAAATGGTATTGTGTGGTTTACAGAATAGAGTCAGACCCAAGCAAGAGTAGGCAGAAAAAGAAAGAAGTGGTCACAGGTAGTAGTTTGGTCTTATGCCTTTAAATTTTTTTTTTTTTTTTAAAAAAAGCAAGCTGCATGAGTATTATTGGCATCTGTTTCCCATGGACATGTTCACTTCACTGATGATTAAGTACATTAAACTCAGTGTCTTTAACACATCATGATGCTTAAACAGCATCTTCTTTGGCAGACAGAATACTGGACTGGATGGACCCAGTCAGGCATCTCTTGATCACTGTTCTGAGTGGTCATAGACACATGGGGTGCCTCGCTGTTTGCCCCAACACTTGCACAAATTTCACCCAACTTCAGTGCTTTTGGATATGTCTTAATTTTTCTACAGTAACTTCATGTCAACAAAAATATTTGGCAAAATGAAAAAACATTTTCATATACCACTAATTATTAGAGTACTGAATAGCCATAATAATAATTTAGATGTACCTTGCCAGAAAAGACTTAAATGGCTATTTAAATCTAGCAAAATATTAATTAACTACTAGCATGTAGCATAGCAAAGTTTAAGAATAAATCTCAAATTTGCTATTCCAATTAATTAAATATAACTGCAAGCAAAAGTCTTTAGGCTTTTCCCATGTGTCACCTCCCTCTCCTTCTAAGTAAAGGAACACATAGATCTTCTGTGAGTTATCATCCAGTTTAGGAATAAATCTTTACCTGTTCTTATGTCTGGTTTCACAGACCATCAATACAAAATAGGCCTGTTCAGGTTCACTTGAAACCAGCCAAGATGTACAGGTAAAACAAAATATCTACATGCTACCTTATCACAAGAATTGGTAAATCAAGTTGTATCAAAGGTCCAGTGAACCAAATATCCTTTGTAAAAGACAGAAAGTTTAAGAAAAGTTGAAAACAAACCAGACACATCACTCCAGCTTTTGTCAGTAAGTAATAATCTGAGATGGAGCCTCTACCATAAGCCAGCAAGTGAAGTAGTCATGGATGTCTCTTCCTTTCCAATAAGTATTTCTTAGAATGCTTAGAGAATATGAAAACCACAGATAAGCAAAACTAAATCATATATGTCCTTGTTGTCAGTCATAACAACTTTATTTAAATCACTGGATTTGCAGCAATTTGTTCCTGTCGTAACTTTGGTTTTAATTGTTCTCCCGTTCACATGGGCCCCATGAGGGGCTCTATAAAAAATTAGCTACCTGCTTACTTAAATCAGAAATGACCTCACTCTTTTATCACATCAAAAGATATCAACTGTAATCCATCTTTCTAAGAATTTAAATCTACACATCTTGTTATACCTGTTGTAATGCTTCTTTCATAACCATGGGAGTTTTAATGCATGACTGAACATACTAAATGAACGGATTTTGTACATCACCAACAAATGTTACTGTGACATTTCATCTAAGTTATCTGACCCTTAAGACATAACAATATTCTTGTACTCTGGCAAGCTCGGATGACTTCATTGCTACTGTAGTGGCAATGAAAACGCAGGTTTCCTCCTTGTAACAGTCATATTCTTCAGAAGACACATGTCAACTCTCCAACTGGAAATATTCATAACCAGTGTTGCTAGTCATACAAATGTTCGGTTTTATCACACTACTACTACTGGTTTTATTTACATTGCATCACTGCCACAGTCACAGATCAGTGGTCCACTTGGCATGCAACTAAGAGACAATTAATGTCAAATTCCTGTCTTACTGTCCTACAGCTTGGATGGTAAACTGCCTGATGTAATTGTGGCAGCAGGTTTTTCTTTTTCTCCATGTTTCTATCCTTTACTCTTCATTCCCACTGTTTTCTAGCAACTGAAAAATCATCTTCCAAAGTCCTTCCCTTCAACAATTTAAATATCCATTTCTCCTCTGCTGTCTGGTGAGCATTATGAAGAATGATCACACTGGGTAAATGCTAGGCATTTTTCCCCTCTTGCCAAGAGAGAAGAATGTTTGTTATGGGATCTGGAAGGGGAGCTGGGACCATTTTACCCTCTCCCCATTACCAGAATTTTAGCTTCTTAAGCAAAGCAGATTTACAGATTGTGCTGTTGGTCCAGTCAACCATTCTCCTCCCACAACACATAAATCAGTTTTCACATTCGGCAGTGATACAGAAATATGGGAGAGAGCTCAGCTCCTGTTGGTCTCAAGGAATCGGATACAGGATGGTGACCTCCAGGAAGACAAGCAGAGCTCAGCTGTTAGCTTTGCTTTTGGCAGCAGACAACTGCAAGTCAGCCACGGTGTCTGTATGGCTGATTAACTAGACGTGCCACCCACAGCATGCATAGTTTCCACTGCTAGAGGGGTGAAAGCAGGGAACTGGGCAGATCCCCATTAACAGAGCTCAGGAGACATCTCTCATCTGAGTCCTCACTACTCCTGTGGTCATGGACTAGCTCCTCTCATGGTGGTGTGGTTTATGTTCATACACGATGCCAGCCTGATCTAACCTCATCACTTACACAACACACTTTGGTCCTTCTCTCTCCTTCAGTCTCTTATTTGCCACTTAAAGGTATCATGCTCTTTCACACCTCTGCTAAAAAATAGAATGAGGCCACCCTTATTTTGGTGCTTCTAGTCTGGTTATCTCATGAGGACAGAAGAGAAGGACATGAAAGCAGGAGCAGAACTTGGTGGAAACTCAATGACCTACATTATTCCACTGGATTTTTATTGCTCTACAACAGTTAGGAAGATTAATGTGTCATCTCCATTTTAGAAGATTTGACATACATGTACATTTTATTTTATAAAGACTAATATAGTCATCTGCCTTAAATACAGGAGACCTTTCACAAATAACAGTTTTGTATTTCTCCAAGATACAATCCACAGTGAAATACATATTTGCATGAATAGCCTTGATCTGTTAGGGGAATGAAAAAGGATTTAGTCAGAAGAAAGACTTGCACATTTCTGATATTAATATGCAGATTCAACCTAAGAGGCAAGTAATTCAAAAGCATATACTCAATACTGCATTATCATTATATGTCTTACAAGTAGAAGGCTTTTTAATAACCCAAAACCTCCTCTGGTCTCCCTAATACTCAGGGTTTGCCTTCCCCATTTCTGCAGATAATGCTAACAACCAGATGATATTTCTTGATTGTTGATTCACAGTTATTCATCCTCCTATTTTGTGAATTTCCCTCTGCACCTGCTTTCATTATTCCTCTGCATTACTCCAGATACCTAAAACTTGGTTCATGCCTAATCTGAATTTCTGCCCTGGGATGGGTAAGAGGCATCCAAACCACCCCACCCTCCCACCCACCCACCCCCACTTCCCCCCACTAGTCTAACATCACAAGTGTCCTCTGCCTGGTCATTCCATGAATCAACCAAACTCCTTCCTATGCACATACTGAACAGAGATCTGAAGACACTCTCACTTGCAAATGCACATTAGGAGAGGAGCAATTACAAAGAAAGTGTAAGGAAATTGCTTGTGTTCCTAACATGCTTTGTAATAAGGCATACTTTATAACACAGAGTATAAGATGATATGATCTATGCTGCTTTACAGGTGGATTTTCTGAATTCCAAAATTATGTCTAAGAATCATCCTTACCTATTTTGCATGTGATATCCTACAGGCTACCTTGCCTGTGCAACAAGGTGGCCAGTTCTGGAAGCATGGTTGCTTGATAGGCAAGGGACGGGAGGGAAATTCAGGGGATGTATACAGTTCATTGTCCATTGGCCTTTTGCAAAACTCTGTCTAGAACCATCGGTCCGCAGCAGTTTCAAAAGCTCTGTAGACTCCACTCAAAATAACTTTCACTCTGAACTACAACATAGATCAGTATTAATTTTTCTTTTAGAATTAATCAAGTGCAAAAGCTTCTATTGATAAGTAGTGACTTTGAAAAGTTTATGTCAGTCTCCTCTTTTTTAATCATAGTATCTAAATTTATAGTCTTTAAGGTGGCTCATGAAAGCCACCTTCTCATAATCAGCAAGCCAATTGTAAAAGCTCACTTCCCTTCAACTATCAAATAAGGTGTAACTTTGTAACTTTGCTCTCCAAAATCCACCTGTAATGCTTCTAGATTAGTTTTCAAATCATTTTCAGAACAGGCATGCTGAAAACATCCCAGACTGCAGTTGGCCCACTACCAGCAACAGTAAACGGTGTGAATTTCAAGGCAAGTGGTGTTATTTTACTACCAATTTTTACAGTTTTTACACTCTACCTACGAGAGGCCCAGCTTCACTGTCAGTGCTAAAGTTTCCAGGTACTATGGCAGGATTTCCAACAGATCCCTCTAACAAGTGTGACATTATGCAACAGCATTGCAGATGTGGACTCTTTGCCAGCCATAGCTCTGAAAACACATCTACCGTTTTATCAGGTAGAAATCAGCCAGTTTAAACTTGGCATGGTGGCCCAAAGGCATTTCTTCCCAGCCCAGTCATGGTGCTGCAGAAGTTACTACCCAACAGCCAGGCCCAAGCTGCTTACCGCTACATCCCTGCTGGGTGCTCTGACCATGGCTGGCAGGCAAGCCCTTTCCTTTGCCATCCCTGGAAAAGCTCTTCTCTGCCTCTCCAAATCTCTGTTGACTCTGTAAAGCTACAGAACTCTCCCCAAAGCCTTGCTGCTTTTGTACTTTTCTTTAAAAAAACCCCACTGAACTGCATCTCTAAATGTCTGAGGCTCCAACATTTACAGAATTCTTCATTCAATACCAAACTGAGACAACATGAGAGTCTCTTCATTAGTGTGCCATTTCTATTTCAGAGTGATCATCTGAACAAAAAAGGCCAGTTTTTCATAGTAGAAGAAATAGGACAGAATGTTAAAAGATTATTAAATTTAGGTTTCAGGTGCTGATTCACACTTTGCAAGTAATTTTGCAAGCAACTAGTTAGTGACTGAAAATGTTAAGGGTTATATTCAAATTAAGTATTTAGTAATAATTTTAAAAGCGCAGTTATGTTCTGCAAATATTTTGATATTATAATCAGACTCCTTCCTTCTTTGTACACTCCTATTTTTAATGTGGCCCGATAAAAAGTAAAAACATTTCAACATTTTCTACAATTTTCAACAATCTCTCAGCTGTAACATGATGATATGTTGGAACTTACAACTGACTGCAGTAATTTTACTGGGGCAGAGTATACAGCAGCTGTGATCACACAAGCAAATTCTTTTATATATAGAATCTAAAGTAAGAACAAAATATTCTGGTCTGTGTCTCTGAAGCAAGTTATATGGAAGCACTGGAAGTTTTCAGTTAAATAGGTGTATGAGGTTTTAATTAGATCTACAAAGGTTAGTGAGTTACAGATGCACAGGGTCAAAGACAGTGACAAAATCAGTGTTTGTGTTAGCCAAACTGCAAAGACTACATGTGGGTGAGTGATGAAGACTGAAACAACCTTTCAGTCCCAAATGAACACCACATATAGTGGCTGACACACAACAGCGGGATGATTTGTATGGGTTTTTAATCACCATGAATAATGCTATATAGGTTAGCTTGTTAGAGAATTTAATTTATAAAAAATTCAAAGCAACAGTTATATTTACATACACACAGACAAACAAAACAGGTGAGGGAAAAATAATTGCCATGAGAATCTCTCCTATTGGAATATTCCGCTTTCAGTGTGATAGCGGAATTGCTTTCCACCCTGCATCCCTACAATAAATACTCTTTGTTGCAAGAAAGTAACACATCATACCTTTTTCTGCCTTGCTTGTGTTATGTTTTTCAAGGAGGAGGTACCGAGGACTCTCAGGAAGAAAAGGCAGAATCACAACTTGTATCAATGAAGGAACAATGATTGCTCCAAATAAGTACGGCCACCGAGATTCCTGCAAATGGATGCAAACATAAGTCGGTAATACTCTCCAATAAAGAAAAAAATACTCTCCCATATAGAAAAATAGCTTTGATGGGAAATACTGTAACGTTTCATCATTCAACATACTGTGCCAGTGAGCAGAGTGGTGTCTTCTGCCCGAGCTTAGTAAGCAGTTTGAACGCTCAAATCCCCTTATTCAAAGGCCAAGTAAGACAGAATTCAAGCCATCAATTGACTGAGAATGACAGGGACGCTGCAGCAATACACAGTATGTTTTTTCCTTTCCTTCAGCACCAACAAGTATACGTGCAAAAATATGATATATAATGACTTCTGCAAGTCATCCCCGCTCACAGTAGGATCACTCATTAGCTTTAAGAAACAGTACAACACTATTTTCATATAGTTGCATATACCTGCATGTTGTCTCTTAGTCTAATCTAATTGATCTAAAATTACATATACATGTGTGTATATATACTTATTTGGCTCAGTCCTCTATTTGTCATACTATGGGTAAAATCCTGATAACACTTCAGATAAGCTGCAAGTTAGCACAGTTTTGTGGTTCTTGATGTAATGCAGGCAGTGACCGTTGAGCATTTCACAGCTGCTGGGAATGAACCAAGCAGGGCTGATGTCTCACCATAAGCCTCTTCCACTTGGCAAAACACAACATTTGCCTTACAGGTACAACTAACACATAGTCGGACAGTTTTCATTTCCATTCAGAAAAGATGACATACACAGTTCAACACAATTAGAGTGAAAGACAGCTATATTTATAACAAGAAAAAAGGTATCTGGCTAACTGATGTAAGGTTGTCTTTATGAATGTTTTCTCTTGCAGCCACTGATTCCACCTATTAAGATGGCTTCCATGCTAATTTAAGTGTAAGAAATGGATTTCACCTATCCTGCCCAAAGTCCATGGGACCTTAAAAAACTCTGAATTAGCAAACCTAGCTCAGGTATTCAAACAAAACACCTGACAGCCCTGTTCCCAAGTCAATGAAATAGAAAGTACTTTTTCTACTGCATTGCAGGTGATCTGCTGGAAGTCTCCAGCAAGGACCTGAACCCCAAGAGCCATCTGCAGCACCCCCACCAACGCAAGGCACCGATGACCCCTCTCTGGCAAGTCCCCATACAGAAGCCAGGCAGTTTTAACCTGCCAGAGCCCCACTGTGGTGTAGGTGAAGAGCACAAGCTGCTGAAATATCCAACACTACTTATATTAGTCTACTCAACTGCTAGCTAGATAGTTCATCTAACTCTCTGGGCTTATGGTCAAGAGAGGATACTTCCAAGTAGCTGAAGGAGAAAGGTGCCAGCAGTATTATTTTCTCCTGCAAAATGGCCCTTGATCTGTTCATGTTCTTAAGACACCTTCTGTTCCAACTGAATGCCAAGATGAAATTTTTTAGCCGTTTTCTCCAAGTTCAGCATTCATCTATTTAATTCAGTGCTTTCTAATCTGAGACTTGGTTCTTAATTGAAAAGCCTGCTGAGACTTCAGTGGGCCTACTGTTCAGGCATCATGTCTAGCACATTTTCAAAAGCTTGGCTAGATCAAAGGCAGATTGCACTGCATCCTGGCTGATTGAGCTCTGAGAGGCACCGGGGGGTTTGGATCCCGTCCTTCCATCAGAATGAATCTATCAATTCAGAACCTGTATTTTCCTAAACAGAGATGGATAAATTTTATTTCAATATAATTTTTCAGAGTGAAATTGAAGCTCAAAAGTCCCCTAACTATTTTCTGTTGATAGTTTTTATTTTACATTCACCTATTTCAGCAATGCCTAAAACACCGTGTACTGCACGGTATGTGATATAATCCAAGCCCCAAACCTGAACTAAGGCCCAAGATAACTCCCGGGCAGAATATGTGGGATACATCCTAAACAAACTTTTTACTTGCCCTTTAAGTGATAAAGGTTTGGGGTTTTTTTTAATCTCCTGGGATGGGAAAACAACTTGAAAAAGTTTGTTTTTTTTTTTTAATGGAGTTGACTGGAGAACTTTACCTAATACAGGAGAGTCAAGAGTGGTTAATAATCTGTTTATAAACAAATGAGCCTGAATCTCATTTTAAAAGCTAGAAAAATAAACTAAGGCTAAGACTTTAAGAACAGTTAATAATCACATAAACAAAGTAGATACCTGTTTATAAAGAATAATTTAAGAAAACAGGCAGTATAACTCATCAGTTTCATTCTGCCTGGAATAATTTCCTAGAATATAAACACACTTGCTATGTACAACGAAAAAGTTTATAGGGTGTTAGAATTTCTTACAATACTTTTAGATAAAATTTTTATTCCCAATCTGCACATCATCTTTTCTGTTGGTTTTTCCACAGTGTCAAGGACACTTCTTAAAGAAAGTATTCTCATTATACCTTTATTATTAACATTCTGCCAACCTATGAAGACTTACCTGGAATAGGCTTACACCCCTTTTAAAGCCTCCCATAGTGTATGGCTTTTCAGTTGGTCACATTCCTCTCAAATAACTCTTCTGAAAGTGTTATTTTGAAAAAAGCTATGAACAAGACTGAACCTTTAAACTTACCCTTTACAGTAAATAACAGACCCTGACAGTATAATAAGAAGCCCTCTATTTTCACCATGAGACATGAGCTTCCTTTACCTCCTCTATGAAAGATTTCTGGTTTACTTTTTATTATGCCAACTTTTAAAACCTTAAGGTAAACAGTCCCAAAGATGCTCCCACTTGCCATTGCTGGCCTGAGTTGATCAGTAAGTCACTGAAGTGGATGGAAACTTCTCCATACATTTCAAAATTTTTCAGGTGATGCCTATTCAATGCTATAGAACATGTGTTCCACTTGCTTTTCTCTTAATTTGCATTATCCACACTCAAATTCTTCATCCAAGTACAGAAAAGAAATAGGAGGACTAAAATGAGTTTAAAAGATCCATTAAAAATTGATGAAAATCCATCTGAACAAGACCCTATAAAAAGAATTAAAAGAAGCAGGGAAAAGGAGTGTTTCCTAGCCTCCTTAAGAAGGAATAGGAGAGGATACAAACTGGGACAATACTCAGAAGCAATAATAAGATAAAGGCAAAAGACAGCGTAGGCTTGACTTAGAAGACATATTAACACTTTGCCCCAGTTGTCATCAGTAAGGGGAAGCACACAGGCACTGCTGAGAGAAATGAAAACAACACATCCCATTTTATCTCGGGAAAAACTTAAAAGAGCGTTAAATATTTTAATTACAGGGGACCTGACTCATCACCTGCTCAGAATCAGTACAAATAACATGTCAAGATGGTAAAATTTTAAAATTAAACTGTCACATTATGGATATTTGATTAGGCTGGAGCATGAAAAACCTGGCTTCGGTCTATTTACAAAAGACAGTTAAATAGTAGAGCAAGTTTGACAACCACAGACTCATTCAAAGGTTAAGATAATAAAGTGCAACGCTGCAGAAATACAAGGTGAGGGAGGAAATGGATAAAGCACGACATGGATTTATCAACTGCAAATGAGACAGGATTAAACTACACCAGAATACAATAAAGCAAATGTTACCATGTCAGAGAATCGTCAGCTAAAATGTAGAACATGGAACTTACTGTAAAAGAAGGTGGAAAAGAAAACAGGCATGTGGAAGTGTCAACAGGCACTGCTGACAGCTGAACTATTGGTTCATATGAAGTTTAATGACTGCTTAAGCACTGGTTATATTTAATATTTTCACTAATTAGGAAGATTTTGATAAAATTTGAAGACACTTTCAACACAGAAAGGTTAGGAATGTATACATACAGATATAAAAATTTTAAAAGGGAGAACTGAATTGTTGACAGGGTCATACAACAGAGGTGGAAAGAAGTGTTGCACTGACCTGTACATGAGGCATTCATTTTTTGAAAGATTTAGCAAGGCAAATTAAGTATCCCAGTACAAGATGATCATACAGAATCAAAAAGACTGAGTAAGGAAATACACAACTGCCATGGGCTCTACTTTCTCTCTCCCTCTAAATAATTTTATTTATTTCTTTGAAAAGCACAATCTGGACATGCATCCCACTCCCCATTCCCGAGTATCAACTACTACAGCAAAGTCAGGCTCCTTGTTTGCTCTCTGTCCTGCGTTTTCTGTGCTGTGGAGACACCTGTGTCCAGCTGAACATCCCTGACCCCAGCTGCCCCAGGGCTTCCCACATCCTTGTCTCTTGTCCATTCTAAAGCCACAGGGAAATTACTGCACCCCAAACACAAGTCCCAAACATGTCCCCCTAGGCAGCAACTTGCACATGGGGTAGCACAGGGCACTGTCCAGAGGCCACCAGCCCTGCTTTGTATCCCAGTATACACAGCAATACGACCTCACAGAGCTGCTGAGGGCCTGTTTAGGTTTACTGCTTGAAATGTGCAGGGGATCTTATCAAATCCCTTTGTCTCATTCAGTGCAGGATGAACTATGATCTCTCAGTGAGCAGGTCTATTAACTAGTCACTATTAAAAAGGCACTATTTAAATATTAATTCTGGAATTAATTCCTTGAGGGGGGTAGGGATATGATGGGTTTACTACAGCACTGAACACTTTACAAACAGGAGTGATGTTTTTGTATAATACCTTTTCCATGTAAAATGACATATTTTACCCATTTTATACATGGGGAGCAGAGACAAAAGCCTCTTGCATCCAATGCAAGATACTCAAAATATCCAGGAACTAGTGATTTGGCAGTATCTTCTTTTTCATGTACCTGTAAGAAGCAGGAACACATTTAAAACTTTGTTTTGGCAAAATATAATCACACACATGCAGACAAAAGGAATTATATCTAGTATAATTCCTAGATGTACTGAAGCATCTTGCCTCGCCTCTGGCTACAGTCCCAGAAGGATGCAGGTCTCTGCGGTTTTCTGTGTCACATCTGCCAATACCACAGGGACATCTAAGGTACCCTAGGGCATCAAAATGATACTATAAGCTCATGTTCAAGCAATTGAATCCT